TGCACTCGTTTACCCAAAAACGAAATAAAAAAACTAAATCTGTTCCACGGCTGAAGATAGTGACAGGCAAACAGATGAACGGGTGGACATCAGCGACAATTAGTTTCGTGTGCTTGCAGCAGATGTATGAGAACAAACACGGTGCAAATTACAGGCACAATTTGCAGGTGGGCTCTGCCTGTTTACCTGTTGTACTGTTGTTTTGCCATAGTCTACAATCATATCCTCGGCTGTCGTTGGCTTGAAACCACAGATTCGGCTGCAAATTAATTGCCTTTTACGCATAAACTGCCTAAACTAAGAAACAAGTGCTTTCTTTTATTCTGAATGCTCACCTCGAAAATTCATCATAAACAGTCATTTGCCGCGCAGTAACGCCACCCACACGAAGTCGAATCTTTTCGGGCATTTGTTGCGCTCGTGCCAGGGCAACCGGATCAACATACTGACGGCCTTCTAAGCGATACTGCTTCCGCATACCGAATTCTGCTTCCAGACGCTTATCCATTTCTGGTGTCGCTTTTTCACATGCTGTTTTCACGACAAAATTTGTGGCCAATTCAAGATTGTCTTCAGTGATTGCAAGTGCCGCTTCATCCATGAATTTTTGCTGAAATATCAAAGAAATTCGGTGGTTGCTATATCTGCACAAGACAGGATGCTTTAGCAGCTGAAAAACCAGGAAGCCTGTATTCGAAACATCTCTTCACATTTTTTTACTGAAAATGAAGGCAATCATCCGCATTTGCAGCCGTTCTCGAAGTAGCAGCACCAGTCGTTTGATAACCAGAGCTTCTCTGTCCTGAGGGATTGTCCTAAGGGACAGAAAGGACTTGAATAAAAAAGAGCCAGTGAATTTTGGCAAAAGAAGTTATTTTTTTATCGACTAGATTCGATCCCGAAAAACCACCTCCAGCAAAAAGCATGATTACGGCGCTGTAACTGTACTAGAACAAGTGTTCCTACATGAAAATCGGCAGACAGCACACAAAACATACTTAGAAATATGAATCCAAATTCAACTTTTTTTTTGCTTATGCGCTGCGACCTATTTGGCCGCACACAGGGCTGTACAATTCGGAGATAATTTCAGCGGCCTAACGCACTGCATTAGTTGGCACATGCGTCAAGTTTATCGCATACTACAAAGGATACTGGATGCCTCATTCTACTGCCAAATTAGCTTGATTTAGATAAAGAACTGTTCGAATATCCGCTTTGCGTGCAGCGTGCTGTGTTGGCGACTGTTGGATAAGATGCAGATGGATGCCAGCGAAGGCGACGGATGTGAAAAGGGTCGTAAAAAAATTCTACAGAATTGACAAATTAATACCGTCTGACAAAAATCGAAAACTTCTTTCTTAAGCAATAAGCACCTGTTCAGC